CTTCCTCCCGCTAAGCTAGTCTGCTACATAATGTTCCAGAAGGTACGCGAGCATTGAAATCTAAATCATAACGCGCAACATTATAACATTTTTGTTGTGTAACCTTAGTCACTTTACATAGGTAGGTAAATTGTAATTATACACGGAAAGGGTAGACTTAGTGATTTTGGGGCCCTAAGCAATTCCAAGTATGCAGCACTAGCAATGAAACTCAAAACATTTCCTTTCTCAACATATTTTTTTCTTTGTATATTATTTATTTATCTATTTTTTGTAAACAAATTGCATGTTAAAAAAGCATTTATGTGAATTTTATTTAGAAGTTAATTTTCAGAGGATTGTGTGCTTATAATAACTCACTTTATATAATCAGAATTTTATACCACAGTTATTTTCATTTTGAAGAATTTCCCCTTCAGCCCCTATTCCTTCTCTTTTCCTAGATTGGGTGGCATGGTGGCCCAGTGGTTAGCACTGTTGCCTCACAGTAAGAATGCCACTGGTTCAAGTCTTACCTGGCCAATCAACATTTCTGTGTGGAGTTTACATGTTCTCCTTGTGCCCGTGTGGGTTTCCCAGTTTCCTCCCACCATCCAAAAACATGCGACATAAGTGAATTAACTAATTTAAATTGGCTCCATAGATGTGCTCCTAGCTAGCAGCATATCTCTCCAAAGCAATTCCTAATTTGTCATTAGCTATAAACGGCAGGGGAGTTCCCAAGATCCACCTGAGCTCAAACTCCCCTCTCGCCCTGCAAATGAGAGTCCCTGGCTCGAGGATCTTATAACCTCAAGTCTCTCTCCCGGGACATCATGGCAAACACGCTTTATTATTATTCATCAGCTAAATGTGAACTCTTAAAAAATATATAAAAATTATAAAAAGGTTTTTTAAGTATATTTATATACTTTTATGTTTAAAGCAACCTTTATTTTATAAATGTAAAATGAAATGCAACAAATTCGCAAATAAAAAAGTCCACAAACTAACCATGTACAGTTAAAATAAACATTTAAAGTCCCCAAGAAATCAAAACTAATCATATGATTTTATAAGCTCACATTTTTTTTTTTTTTTAGTTTAATTCTCAGATTACCTGATTTTGAGGAAGTGGGCATCACTAACATACTTACTGTAACCATGCTGGTTCAACTATCAGTTTTGACAACAAACAGAAATGGTGAGCTGGAGGTGTCTGTTAGATTGTAATAACTCGCCTGAAAGCCATTTCCCGATCTTTCTAAATGAAATCCCAACTTTAATACATTCATTCAGTCCACAGTAAAAAAAAAAAAAACAAAAAAACAAGCCACGCCCACTGTTTGCTCATTTAAAATTAAGTTTCCTTAGGAACTGCATCACAATACAAAAACAAATAATGATCGCAGCTTCCGGCTTATTGGGACATTAACAAATTGAATTCACAATCAATCAATCTTGTCACCATTTTTCATATGAACTGAATAATTGCTGTATGTGGCCGTTACTCTTCCCTGGTTGTATTGTATTTGAACAGGCCCTGTCTTAACAAGCTCACAGCGCTCATATATATATGGGCAACGCAGTGTCGCAGTGGGAAGCATGTTCGCCTCACAGCAAGAAGGTCGATGGGTCGCTGGTTCGATCCTTGGCTCAGTTGGCGTTTTTGTGTGGAGTTTGCATGTTCTCCCTGCATTCACGTGGGTTTCCTCCGGGTTCTCCGGTTTCCCCCACAGTCCAAAGACATGCGGTACAGGTGAATTGGGTAGGCTAAATTGTCCATAGTGTATGAGTGTGTGTGTGAATGTTTCCCAGAGATGGGACGCGCCTGGAAGGCTTCCGCTGCGTAAAAACTTGCTGGATAAGTTGGCGGTTTATTCCGCAGTGGTGACCCCGGATTAATAAAGGGACTAAGCCGACAAGAAAATAAATGAATGAATATATATATATATATATATATATATATATATATATATATATATATATATATAT